GGCTTACTGTACAGCAGGAAGGGGGATGTATATTTGGGGAAGGAAAGAAATATGGGCATAGAAAACTCTATAAAATGTTCTCCCTAGAATTGCACATACTTTCCAACTAATTCCCATTCCTCTGACAAAATCATCCCGAGGTGAATGTTTGGGTCAAAGTTATATACAGCTGCTGGGGGAGTCTTTAAGTAGGAAAACAGACTAATTTGGAGAATAAGTCATTTTTATAGCCCTAATTTCCTGTGTTACATGCAGAAATGGTCCATAAATGGCACAAAAACTTTAGTAAACTTGAACCTTAAATAACTGTTTTGTATTATTATTTTTTTAATTTTGGGATTTGCAAACCTGGAGCTTTCTTTATGAATATATCAAAAGGAAAGACTTGATGTCTGTTTCTGTTTCACTAGATCTTTTCTTTCAAGTTATTTGTGAGCTATTGTGTTACAAATCCCAGTCCTAAACATTTTTAGGCATTCTATTGTTAACTCAGGTTTTGATCCACTCCATTTTCTCAGAAGCTGTCAATCACTCAACAACAGTTTGGTACCTTTATTTATTCTTGCATATCTTACAGGGGAAATGTACTGGCTGCTTAGCATCACACTGAAGCATTCCTTGGCGTTATTTATTTATTTTTTGGATTTATATGGCCACCCATCTCAAAGACATGACTTTGGGCATCTAACAGTATTAAAAATAAAACCACATACAAAATGTCACATAAAAACAGATAGCATCCAAGGGAAAAAAAAAATTAAAAACATTACGATATAATCAATACAACCAGGAAACGGGTTCCATTACACACCTGGGACCCCAGGCTTATGCACAGCGCCAAGTCTCCAAGGCCTTGCAAAACCCAAGCAGGATTGGGGCCAATCTGCAGGGATGATATTCCCAAGGGCAGGTGCTCCTCAACCCCGCCAAACAACACTCCCTAGCTGATGGGTCTTTCTACTAAAAACCCAACTGAGCAATTGAAGAATGCCCTTTCTTTGTATCTTCCTCTTTTTGTCAGATTTATATAATTCTTCTGATTGCTACTTACATGTGATCCAGATGCTACTCAGGTAAAAGAAGCCATGCCAGATTTTGTTCTTCCTTATGCCAAAACTAAAATCAGTCTAGTGGCATGCTCAGTGACTCCCAGTGTAGAATTTCCCCAGGGTGATTGAGCAGTAAGAGCAAAATTTCCCAACTTGGAGCCTTCAAAATGGGGTTGGATTACAACTGTCATCATTTCTAACCTGGGCTAATGGAAATTAGCCATGGAGTACATGCTGGAGTTGGATATAGCAAAAAAACAGAAACAAAGCAAATCATTGCCCTAGTTGTCTGAATTCACATGTAACATTAACCCATGTTGGAGCAGCACCATTCCTGTATACTGTAGCCAATGTCTTCTTCCTCTTCCCCCATTTGAACCCCACTGCATCTAATAGCTGATGGGGTCGTGATAAAATACAAACTCTGGAAAAATGCAAAACAAAATAATATCAAGCAAATAAAGCAGTAATGTGTCTCTCCTTTTCTGTATCTTAATTCCCATGTTTTTAAGTGTCTTGCTTAAATTCTCAATGTACACTTGTATTCCCAGGCTTATGCTGTAGTCTGGGTTTAATATACTATTTGCTTAATGGCCCATTGACATAATCATTTGATATAGATCCTAGTCATACCACATTACCAGGTTGTGATATATTAATATAGCTACATATTAATGTTGGATGAGAAACCTATTACATCATTATCCATGAGCAATTAGTTGCTATCTATTGCAGGTATATACATCTAGCACAAGTCATTAGGGGACCGGCAGCTTCAAACTGCTGGATCTTCTCAGTTAAGATTGAAATCAACTGAAATCTTTCCAGTTCCATCACTAAGTTGTATGTGGAAAGTAGCCTTTGCTGCAGTTTTACTGTAACTGCATACCAAAAGAACTAACTTTTGGTAAGATATGTTTATGAAGATTCTCAGGCATCCAGGTGGAATTGTCTGGAGGTTGAGTCATTGCAACTGGACTTTTCTTTTTCTTTTTGGTTAGAGACATTTTCCTACTTGTCCAAGCAGCTTCTTCAGTCTGCCTGGACAAGTAGCGAAACGTTTCTAACCAAAAAGAAAAAGAAAAGAAGTCCAGTTGCCAATGACCCAACCTCCAGATAACTTTTGGTAAGATAGCATAGAGTCACAGAATCTTGCCATTATGAAGTCTAGCTGGAAACGTTGGAACTCATAAACCCTGTAAATCTGGAGATGTATCAGTATGGAGATCCAAACCCTTAAATTCCAGCTCTGTATTTACTATGGGCTGGTTCACCCAACATGCAAAGCCAGGTCTGCTTAATCATGGTTTATTGAATAAGTCACAGTTGGTTTACTGAATAAGCCACACAGCCATAAGTCATGGTTTATAAACTACAATGGTTGGGTTCACGCATCAAAACAAACCATGAACATTATAGCGGGATATATGAACAGAAGACTAGATGACATGAGATTATAACAGGAGTGGGCAACTTTTTAGTGGTGATGGTGAAAATCCTTTTAGAAATAGATTCTCTCAAAATCTATAAGAACCCTAACATCAAGAGTGATGGAAACGATGAAACAAAAAAAAACTGAGGCAAGTTCACAGAGGATTTTGAATTGATCTAGAGGCACTTTGGATTCCATAGGTGGTATCTCAAATAATGTCTTGCTGATTCAGAAGTAAATCAAGCGTCAAAAAAGGAGAACAGCATTTGGGTGGCATTTCCTGGAAGCAGTAGACCAAGGAAATACTAACTCCACCCCATGAAAAGTAGTAGGGTTTGCTCATATCTTTAAACGAAACCTAACTTTGAAAGCTATATGATTCTTTCAGTGGGTGTTCAGATAAAAATGCATGACAGGACACACCACCGCAGAGAAATGAAGTCTTCAGTTCAAAAGGAAATGGCAATTAGTTATTGTTTAAGAGCTATTTTGCTTATTAGCCCAAGTGGAGGCACACATTTTGGAAAGACCTTTAGCAAAATTGTTTATAGTCCCACAAACCATGTGCTGAATAATTCCTTGTTATTGGAATGTAGCCTTGTTTTCATCTGGTTTTGGTAATCATTTTTGTTCTCTCCCCCCCCCTTTTTCTATTGTTTCTTAAGTTGGTTATGACTCAATTGCTTTTGATTTAATTAGTTGATTTTTAATGAATTGTTAGATACTTTGCAGACTCTTTTGGATTGTAGAGTGGGATAAACATGTGTAAAATAAATCCAGAGCTTTGCTAAAAGGGAAAGAGAGGGCCAAGAATTGCAAGTTCAAGTTGTTCTAAAACCATAATAAAAAACATCTATGTGCAAACTATGTTATATGAAATTATTATAGCCTGTCTTATCCAAGATGAAAATCACATTAGTGCATAATCCAGTACTATGCTAAAGTTAGAAATGTGACATTTTCACATAATAATTTTGGAAGATTGAAATTTCCCAGCACTTCTGGAACGATGATCATATCCCTACTTTTAGCTTTGGAACGAAAAAGATGAACCTAGCAACAATAATCCAAAATGCTCTGTTTTGGGGTTCTCTGGCTTGAAGGTGAGTATATCTGTCTTCTCCATCCTGATGTCCTCCAGCTAAACTGGATTGTAATTTCCATTACCCAAACTAGTGGGATATGCTGTAATCTGGAATTGCTGGAAAATGCTGGGCTGAAGAGTGCTGGACTAGAACTACTCAAATAGGTTTTCTGATTACATTAAGCCATAATGTAGTTTGTTCAGTTTGACATATCATGGTTTGTGAACACAATAACTGTGGCTTGTAAACCATGATTTCTGACTGTTCTGTGAACTAGTTGTGCCATAGTAATAGAACATACTTAAAACAAAACCTGGGTTAGTTCTATGTGTGAACCAATCCTATATGTTATATTAGCTAAGACCTACTTAGAAAACATGAATGTGAACCCACAGTTGATTACTAAACCACAAAGAGAATTATATTTAGAAGACATATGGGTGGACATGAAAAATGTTAAGAATTTGTCCATTTCTGTTAAACTGTTCGACCTGAGGCATTATTAGGATGGTAAAAAAAGATGGATGTCAGACAAGGTGCTTTTGAACTGTTCTCACTCACCTACTTATCAGCAAATCTTAGGGTGTTATGGGAACATCAACACACAATTCTAGATATTTTTGATACAATTTAATTGAGCTCAATGGGGCCTATTGACAGGTGTGTGCATAACTGAAGCTGAGCAGTACAATTCTGCACAGTACAGGTAGTCCCCGACTTATGACCACAATTGGGACTGGAACTTCCATTGCTAAGTGATGTGGTCATTAAGTGAGTTGTGCCCAATTTTACCACCTTTTTTGCCATGGTTATTAAGTGAATCACTACAGTCATTAAGCAAATCATGCAGTCATTAAGAGAATCCGGCTTCCCCCATTGACTTTGCTTGTTGGAAGCCCCCTAGGAAGGTCCCAAATAGTGCTCACATGACCCTGGGATGCTGCAACCATCATAAATACATGCTGGTTGCCAAGCATCTGAATTTTGATCACATGGCCACGGGGATGCTGCAATGGTCATAAGTGCAAGGAGTGGTCATAAATCACTTTTTTCAGCACCGTTGTAACTTCAAACAGTCATTAAACAAATGGTCAGAAGTCGAGGACTACCTGTAAAATAGCTGCAGCAAATATATATGTTCTATATCTACTTGCTGCCATCTGGTGATTGGCTGGATGCCTGCAACCCAGATCTGGTAGCTTACATAAAGTATGAGGGAGCCTGATGGGGTTTAATTCCCAGAGAAGACTTCACTCAAGAGCCCAAACACATCTTACTTAAGTTTGTGCTAATATAC